TCAGGGTCCTACAATATGAATGCCCAAGTCAAGAGTTTGTCTGACTGGTGGCTGCCTGACCTTCACTGCAGCGCTCAGCTCAGACATGCAGGAAGTTGTGCATCCTTAGCCACCTGCAATTTACTTGATGCACAGCTGATAGAATGCTTTGTTCCTGAACCTTGCACCGGGAAATCAGAATTTCTGTTACCACTCAGTCAAAGGCAGGGGTGGGGCCCTGGAAAAAGGGCTGAAGGTACTCTCTACCTTCAGTACCCTTTTTTCACTTGCATGAATGCCACAGTACTGCTGATCTTGCTGTCCCATCTCTGGAACTCAACAATCCCCCAAATCAAGGTCTTTTAGAAAAATCTGCATCCCCATACCTGCCATCTCCCATCTTCAATCATTGGGAATTTCCACTGTGCCATGGCATAAAGTTGGTTTCTTCCATGTTTATTTCTTGTCTAATTCTTGTGGCTTTTTTTTCTTACTTTTTTTTTTTTTGATAAGGAATTAAGAAACTAAATTAAGCATGGTGATGCAAGCCTGTAATCTCAGATAATTGAGATACCAAAGCAGGAGGCTTTCAAGAAAGTTTAAGGCCTGTCTGATCTATAGAGTGAGTTGGAGGGCCAGTAACTTAATAAAACCCTGTCTTAAAATAAAAAGTAAAAAAAGGGCTAGAGCTGGGTGTGGTGGTACACGTCTTTAATCCCAGCACTGAGGAGGCAGAGACAAGCAGAGCTGAGTTTGAGGCCAGTCTGGTCTACATAGCAAGTTCCAGGCCATGAAGACCCTGTCTCAAAAAAAAAAAAACAAAAAAAACAAAGAGGGCTTGGAGATGTGTCAAACCACCTGCTTGGTATATGTGAGGCCTGCCTGAATTTGATACCACTTTAAAAAAGGGAGGGGGGCTGGAAAGATGGCTCAATGGTTAAGAGCACTGGCTGCTCTTGCAGAGGACCCGGATTCGATTCCCAGCACCCACATGGTGGCTAACAATCGTTCATAACTCCAATTTCAAGGGAATCTGAAGCTTTCTTTTAACCTCCACAGGCATTGCACAACATAGGTGCACTTACATACATGCAGGCAATACACTCATACATATAAAATAAAAATAATAAATAAAGTGTGGCATTGGTGGTATAGTGGTGAGCATAGCTGCCTTCCAAGCAGTCGACCCGGATTAGATTCCCGGCCAATGCAGAGTGGCCCGGTTTGCCAGGCGTGGTGGTGCATGCCTTTAATCCCAGCACTCGGGAGGCAGAGGCAGGCGGGTCTCTGTGAGTTCAAGGCCAGCCTGGTCTACATAGTGAGTTCCAGGCCAGCTGGGGCTACAAGGGAGACCCTGTCTCAAAAAGACAAAAAAAAAATAAAAAAAAAAAGTAAATAAATAAATAAATAAAATATTTTTTTTTTAAAGGAAACTGAGTCTCAGGGAGCTAAGCAACTTATACAAGGTCATACATACACCTGACTGGTGGAACCCAGGACTGCCCATCTGCTCCAGATCTAAGGCTTTTTCCTCTGTCTCCCTCTGTTTTCTCCTTTCTTCCTATCTTTCTTATGGCTTTTTTCTGGACTTCCCTCCAAGTGAATCTGCTGCCTGCTGTGTGGGGCTAGCAGTGTTTCTCAATCTCTATTGGGAGCCAGGAGATCCTGTGCACTGTTAGGCTGTTTAGCCGCATCTTGGCTTCTAGCCACCTGATGCCAGTAGTACCACTAGTTGTGACAATCAAAATTTCTCCTTGTTGCCAAATGCTTCCCGAGGGACAAAAATTGATTACCACAAAAACTTACTGATTAAGTCTTTTTTTGGGGGGGGTCTTTTTGAAACAGGGTCTCCCTGTAGCCCCAGCTGGCCTGGAACTCACTATGTAGACCAGGATGGCCTTAAACTCACAGAGACCCACCTGCCACTGCCTCCCAAGTGCAGGGACTACAGCTGTGCGCCACCATGCCCTACCATGTCTTTTATTTTTATTTATACACACTCATAAGTATATTGCCTGCATGTGTGTAAGTGTACCTGTGGCACAAAAGTCTGCAGAGGTTAGAGGAAGACATCAGATCCCCTGGAACTACAGCTATTGATTGTTGTTAACTGTTATGTGGGTGCTGGGGGTTAGACCCGGGTCCTCTGTAAAAGTAGTCTGTGCTCTTAACTACTGAGCCAACTCTCCAGCCCCACTGATTAAGTCTTAAGCTTACTGGTTAAGTTCTATATGCCTCCTGCAGCTTCCCCATGAAGGGGATTTGTGTCAGGAGCTTCCTTGCATGGAAGGTTCTTTGCATTTGAATCTAACTAGGGTTCCCTAAACAGGTTCTGGTACTGTGCTGAGCCAGGGCTCCTCAGGTGCTGTCACCAGGATCTTAGTGAGAGATGCCCTTACTTCACAATTCTCTAGGTATAAGAAGAAAGGGACAGGCTGGAGCCTGGGGCAGCTAATCTTCAATTTCCCTGGAGAACAACTCTCAGCTTGCATTTGTAGGAAGACAGTGCTGGGCTTATAGTAAGGCCTTCCTATGAAATATGCAGAGATGTCATTCCTCCTAAACATACTCTACTTGAAATCCTCAGGAAATTGTGCATTTTTCCTAGGGTAGCTAGATCCCTTATATGTAGAGTGTTGAGGGAAAGGCCAGGCCTCAGTTAAGAATCTGGTGGGAATCTGTTGTCCCTCACCCCAGAAATGTACATTTTGCCTATAACTTCATAGGTTCACAGATGCCAAAGACTGGCCATCCATCTATCCATCCATCTCAGGTTAGGAAGCTCTCTCTTATCCTCACACTTCTCCTTAGGAATAAAGTAGAGAGACAGAGGTCTAGAGTTCTCTCATTGCATTTGAGACCATGGCATTACACCCTTTTATTCCAGGATCCAAGCCCTGTATCATACTAAGTGATTGAAATAGGAGGTGAAGCTGTGCATCAAGGAGAATGATGAGAGAAAAGCTGGGCAGGTGAATAGTTAAGGAACAGGCATGGCAAGGTAGAGCTGACTCCTTCCCTTTTCCAGTCTAGCTTGAGATCAGGGCCCAGCTGAGGGGAGGAGAAGGGGAAGAGATGAGGCTGGCCCCCTCCTTCCCCAGCTGCAACAGCACAGTGGGTTAGATGAATGCTCTGAGGGAGGAAAGTGACCCTGGCAGAACCCTTTGTTCCAGCTGAGGCTGGAGCAGGGGCACCAAGCCATTCACACGCCATCCCAGGGCATCCTGCTGGGCATGCTGGGGAGGGGGCACAGCAGCCAGTCATGGGACTTGGCCAGGCAGATAGCTTGATGCTCAATGGGGAAGCCCAGCTGCATGCTCCTGAGCCTGGGGGAGGGGCTGCATCCACTAGTCTTCCTCCAGGCTGTAGTCGGTCTCAGACAGGAAGGTACTGACTGACTGGGCCCAGTTACTCTGCCCAGAGTGGCCTAGTCTTGTCATCTTCCTCAAAAGTAAAATCTGACTGCAGGACTCACAAACTGCTTCCTGTCCTCTGTGTGGATGGATTTTTTTTTTTTTTTTTTTTTTTTTTTTTTTTTTTTTTAGAAAGGGGCCATTTTAACCCACCTTTACATTATTTAACAGTGATGGTTTCCACAGTGTTTTCCCGTTATCCCAAACACTTTCCTTATTTAGCTAATTTCCTATTGTTTCCAAATGTTTTCTTATCTTAACTGTATTTTACTGAATGTACCACAAAAAAAGCTTAATTGCTGGGTTTAGGTCTCTATTGCCCAAC